AATGCTAACATCACTCACACCAAAATGAACATGCTGAGCAATGTTTCTGCTGCTAACATTGCATGAAAAGGGATGTTTGTAGCACTATGAGCAACCGAATGGGGAAAGCAAATGAACAATACTTAGTCCGCTAAAAAACACCGCTCTGTAAGCTTCCCAGTTAAACCCCATGAATCACTACTACTGACTGGTCAACTCATTTACAAGAAAAGAAACAGAAAAGAGTCGCATATAATGAGCCAAACGTGTATTCGATAAATCGTGATGATAGGTAATAACCACCGAGAAACCTCTAGTTTCAGTATGTCTCCCTACGAAGATACAATGTCAGACATTACCTTCCAAACCTCCATCTTCATCCCCAATATCGAACAAAGATTGACACTGATAATTCTAACTTCCGCCCTAAGATCTTCCAATCCATTACCAACAACAAATGATATAATATTTAAACCTACTGATCAAAATCAATTCAATCTATAGAGCAATCAATTCTGTATCCTACCGATAATTCTTATATGGAAATAAAGCAAGCAAAGAATCATATACCTGCTGAAGCAGCACGATCCTCTGGTTCGTGGCAGCCATAACAACGGCACAGAAGGGATATCTCGAGGCCTTCAAACTATTACTCATCTTGAAGCCTTCACTAGCCCGAATGCTCCCTCCCCACGACACGAAATTCTCATTGATATAATCCACCAACATCTCGGAGCACAAAGTCCTCTCACAAAAAGACGGCGTATCAAGATGGTCTGGCGAGTGCAAGTATACGAACAACAGCTTGAACGAGTTCCTCGACCTCTGCAGGGCGTCCATAAACCCTTCGCTGACGAAATTCGGCCTCCTCGTCCCAAAATCCTGCTCGAACCTCGCTACAAACTGCGCTGCTTCATTCCCCACCTCCGACACCGACACTAATCGGGCCGAGGCCTCACCGTCCCGACCAGCCCCGACCCCAATCATTCCGAGCGAGTACGATAGCACTCCACCCGCCGCCCACAACCCGAGCCCAACCGCGCCAGAAATCAAACCTAGACTACCAGAAATAACAGAAATCGGTAGAGTTATGATCCTCCAAGCCAAACCGGGTGCCGCGACGGCGTTTGACGACTGTCCAGATTGGTACGACGGTTGAGGAATGGAGCGAAGACCGTCCCCACCGCCGGCATCGGAGACTGTGGAGGTTCCGGCGGCAGATGGATCTTCCGGCGAACGTGTATGGTTCGAGGTGGTGGTGAAGGAGGAGATCGCGAGCTCGAGGTCCCAGCCATGGGCGGTGAGGATCTCCACGCACAAATCGGAGTCTTCGAGGCCTGTGATCGCTTGGAAATACGCTAACTTGTCGTTCACATCGACCATCTCTGCACGCAGATTAGGGCTTTCCCTGGTTCGAATCGGGAAGAGAGAGAGAGCCGAGAACGATACGACGACGTTCTGGGATTGTCGGTTCTCTTCTCTGGGAAATTACTGAGGAGGTTTATGAGAGCATCCGCGGGAGCGCAACCAGGTGGTCAACAGATATAGGTTTTGGATGGAATGCCAAAAATGTCCCGTGACTTTTTGTGAAATAACAGAATTGCCATTGTCCGGTAATTAAAGGGTTTAACGCCGGCGGGGAATAAGGTTTAACGTCGTCGTTTTTGCTTCTCGGCTGAGATCATGTGTTACAATAACAGACACACTCAAAAGGAGAAACAATTTGATTACAACAACTTACAATGTTATTATTTTTCATCTAATCTCCTGAATCAAAACCTTGCTCTTTGGTTCGGCTTTCTTCTCCGCTTTCCCGGGCCTCGAAGCCGATTGATAACTCAAAGCTGAACTCTTTTCGGCCGTTACAATGGCTGCTAAGGGAGTCCAAACTTCCCCGGTTTGCTCGTGCACCCAACACATGATGAAATAAATTTTCCGTTCGGCCAACTTAAGCTTGTTCCTAATTTCTGTTCTCCGTGACAACTTTCGTGGTTTCTCTGACTTCAGATCCCTCTCCCCAGCCTGAACCATCCTCTGCAGATCACAGAGCAAGCACAACAAAGCGGGTGTTCCTAGCATTAATAGGCTTGTTACATCATCTATGAGACCGAGTCCAAATTGCAAGCCGCCTGTATGTTTGAAGTCTGGGGAGCAGGTCTTCTCCAAGCAATAAGACAGCACTTCCAGGACAGTCTCCGGTTGCCCACCCTGGCCCAGTACATTGGAGACAGAAAGCACTGCCACGGATGATCCTATGGCATCCGATTTCCAATCTCCATTGTAAAGACGGAGTGTGAAACAGTAGCTGTATATGATGTCAACCAGATGAACAGCTAAGGACGGTGATGGCTTTGTGGAACTCAGCTTGCTGACTGGTGGCAGTGGGGTGTCAGGCCCGGGTGGAATCTCACTCGCTTGATTGCTCTCTGAATTATCCTCAGGTGACATTGATTCATCGTCTTTGACAAGAGGTTGGATAAGTTGGGATCCTTCCTTGCTAAATGATATCGTTCTGGCAGAAGGCTTCAACCACCACGGATCCCAAGGCTTAATCATCTTGCTCAGTTCCCCAGAAACGACAGCTCTTTGGAATAGTTTCTTCTCTTCTGTAGATAGATCATCCAGACTAACTTCACCACCTACAAAGGTTAAAGGCAACCGACTTATGTCAGCTTTAGGAAATATGGAGGAATGCAGGAAACACATAATCCAGAAAGACATAAGTTAAAATTTACTACTTGCAAGTATAAAACTACGGAGTGCAAAATGACTCATGTCAGCTTTAGGACATATAGAGGAAAGCAGAGAACGCATAATCCAGTAGACGTGAGCTAAATTTAACTTCCAAATATAAACCAAGGAGTGCAAATATCTGTTTCTTTGAAAATGTAAAATCAAATGAATGAAACATACGAAAGAACTTCAGAGCTAGAAGCTAAATACATCAATAAAAGATAGACAGTAACATACCAGACAGCACTTTTTGAATAGTCTCCTCAGACAGTGCAGAACCTGCTGAAAAATAAGTTTAGATTTCGGTCAGATATCCAAATTTGTGAAGAAAAAAAACATTTAAGGACCGTAATTAAACAATGAATATCTCTTAGGAAGCCAATAAAACACGGAAAACCTATCCTTCGACCAACTACGATACTAGTTATCAATTTCATTTAAAGGCAGCCTTACGCTTATTGCTATCATCAATCAGGCCCGATTTAGCATCACACGAGACCGACTTACTTCATTTATACTCAACTATAAAACATCTACTAGTTTAGTAAACTTGCATGTGCCATCGACTGCTAAACAATCGGTAATCAGCATAACATCGACGGATTAAGTCAGCAATCCAATTGTTCACTCCACCCTTAAACCCACCCGAACCACCAAACATTTATCGAAAACTAACTAGATTCCAGTCCTAATTCCTAGTTCAAAGCTCTAGCAATCCCTCAATAACAAACTTCTCTTATATCTTACAATGCACATACAAAATCTCAAGTACCGAAAACTCACCAAAAACGTCATTAAACTCGAAAGCCATAAACTTCATCGAAAAACATGAGAACACCAACTTATAATAAAAAAAGGTCTTACATACCAGCATTATCATCATCATCCATGTCATCAGTTTCTTCTTCTTCAGAGTGAAATCGTTTCAGTATGTCCAGCATTTTCTGTTTAGTTTCGTCATCGGGCCCCAATTGCCCCAGCTCCCCCACCACATTCTCCTTCATAAACGATTCGGTACACCGGATTATGCGACTGCTCAATCAAATCAAATTTCAAAACAATCAAACACCAAAATTACAAAATAAATATTTTAAATTAAATTAAATCTGTATAAATTAGCATACATACCTTGTAGCAGTGCAGGGAACAGTAGCGTGAGTTGCATCGAGGGCATGTGTACTGAGAAAATTGCTTCTGGCAGCTGCAATTAAACAAAAACAAAAACAAAATAAAAAATTGAATAAATCAAAATCGGAAAATTTTCCAGAAAAAAATAAAATAAATTATCACGCTTTGTTGATGAAAGAGAGATGAGCTTGGAGAAGAACATACACGTGGCAGACGATACGGGAAGGAGGTTCTAGAGGGGACGAGGTGGAGGGTTTTTCTGAGGTAATGATGGATTCCGCCATGGCTGAAGGTTTTCGAGTTTCGAAGGGGTTTTGGAGAGTTATGAAGTGAGAGAGAAGGGACCGTCAAAGACTGGAACGTTCGTTTCTTTTTGCTTTGGGTTATAAGAGAGGCCCAAATGTATGCACTAAGCCCAATTAAGGCGGTCAAGCGATTTGCCGCCATACTGCAATGACGTAGTTATTGATTATTGGATTATTATTCAAATGGTGATTAACGTACTTATTTTAATTGATAACATATCATATAATTTGAAAATGTGGTCTAAAAGTTGGTCTACCTACCATTATTCCACATACTGTATTATAGTCAGTCGACTCATTTTAGCACGGGTTAAATTGGAAATTCAAATTTTGACCTATTTCAATTCAAGAGTTTTCAATTTGGGACACTCAAATCAATTTTGATAGTCAAAATTCTAAAATTTGCCAAAATTAAAATTCTGAAAGCTCTAAAGTTATAAAATACACATCGAGTTTTCAAACTTAAACTACCCACAATAACTGGCTTTAGAAATAATTATTTCAAAGCGATACTCTACTTATTCTTCTCTTATAAGCGAATTTATTAACCAATGTAGTTTCTTCATGTTTTCAGTATGAATTTTTAATTCCGACCTTTCAATGCTGGACATATTCAAGATTTCAAGTTATTATTTAAAGAAATTTGAAACATATTATTAAAAAATTCAATTCAAATTTTTCGAAATTTGGAATGGATGTTGACACTAATTTTTTTTTTTTTTTTTTTTTTTTTTTTGGAATGGAATTGAAAAAACAATTCTCATTGCGAAAATATTTTGGACTGCAATTCGTATGAAAATCAAACCTAAGTTATCCTAAGTAAGAACTAGTCACATAAACACATAAAATGCCATTTAAGGTTTGATCAATTGACAGACTTTCAATTATGTTCCAAGTTGTTGGATTGGTATAATTTACAGCACCACCTCGGTAGTATATGTTTCTTGCCACCTTTCTTGCAACAACACAATCTGCCAAGAACAATAATCAATGTACAATCTAACTCAGACCCTTCGGAGGGCATGTTGATCCGGTACAACTTTATTAGTAGTCTGATTCTGATTCGCCTTCCGATCGCCGGCTGCCTTGAACTCAGCCAGCTCAGCCAGTTCCTCGACTGCACCTACCATGCCTTCAATCCTTGCAACAATTTCAATCAGCAGAGAAGCTAAAGTCACAAGTGGAATTATGTCCATGAGAGCAACTGCTTCTGCTTCTGCTTTTGTGTTGTTGTTTTCGGGACAATCATCGGATTCCTGCGGCAGTTGTGGCTGTCGATTAATGAATAAGTTAGGAAGAGATTTCAAGTCCTCTTGGAGCTCCAGAACTGCATTGTTCATTTCTCCAACTAGGAGATCTATTGCAGTTGATTTCTTCATTGTTTTCATAGTCTTTGCTAGCTCTTTTATCACTGTTGAAGAATCTGAGCTTACTTTCATGGCAATGTTGCTGATATGCTTCTTTGCCAACTCAGAGACCTGTTTATTCATATCAGAGAGGTTCAGTTTGTGTCATTCTAGCGCTGGTGATGAAATAATAAAAGCATTTTTTTAAATAACTAAAAACACTTTTGACAATGTTGGATTGAAAGAAACAAAAAAGAAAATTATTGGTTATAAAGGCACTTGGAAGTGCCTTTCTCGAGAAGCACTTAGTAGATGCTTCTTGTAGTTCCAACTTCGAAGTTCCAAATATTTTTCAAGAAGCACTTAGGATTTTTATTAAACTTTGAACACATGTTTTTAATAAAGTTGCTTTTAGTAGATTGCTGATCTTGGAATTACCTTATTTTCCGAACTGACACAACCATTGAGGGCCTCGATGCAATAAGCACAGTCACGCATTGATGCCCCAATTTTGAGGTATTGCTTCCATGGATGCCGAAAGTTGAATCGGCCGTGTGCCGGCTCCCATCTAGCAAAATTGGCCTATAGATTGAAAATGCCATTGTTAGATTTTTTTTCGACGATACAAGAGAATTTTATTGAATAAAAAATGGAAGTTACACCAAATAACCCATCAAATTATATATGTTTATGTTGCATACCATGGATTCTTCTGCTCCCTTTGACCCCAAAACGCATTTGTAGCCAAGCAATTTCTTGTCAGATTCTTTGTCACTACCAGCAAAGCCTCCACTATCATTGAAATAATCTGCCACACAACCTGAAAGTATAGTGGGACAATTTTATAATGTCAGCAAAATTGTCCTAGGACAGCAAACACAAGATGGGATTAAATTGTCCTAAACTTGATGGGATTGGATTAAATTTTGTACCATCTAAGGAATTGGCAAGCTTGTCCATGTTCCGAGTGATGAGCATGTAGAGTTCCTCCCCAGCCCAAATGGGGCAAATGATCATGGTTATGACAGCGCACAAGGAAGTCCCAATGACGATGGTCGACATTCTTTGGCTGGCCATGTGGAATAACTGATCCACCCGGTAACCCGACACCGAAACTAAGCTGAATGTGAGGATGAAGATCATAGCACCGTAATCAAATCGAGCTTTCACTGAAGGTATGAATCTCGAAAAGGTTGCTGCAGAAGCTGAAGAAAAAAAGAATAACAATAACATTATAACAGTAACACATTAGAACTTATAAGTCTACTGTTTATAGCTACTCACAAAATAAAATGAGATTAATAAGACTACTACATACCTAATAAGAAAACAGATATTCCAGTGATGAAAGGCTCGAATTCTTTCCCGGATCGATTTGCAATCCAATGGATGCCGATGGCAAGAAATCCGGCAAGAAAAGTTCCACATATTCTGTTTATACTTTTACATAATGTTGCACCTGCATGCACATTAACAATTTAACAATGGGTGTTTTTCGGCTTGTGAGCTTCACTAAGAAGCTAATATCGCGCTAAACTTTTAGCGTGTAAAGACACACATTAGAAAAATTTTGTAACTTACCAATAGTATTTTCGAAGACAACCACAACTGTCATAACTGCCCACATGGCATTTCCTCCCACACCTTCATAGAGAGGTCTCAAGTAGTAAAAGACTGAGACAACAGTGAGTGCCATCCCAACTTTGAGGCAGTGGATCACTTTTCTGGGATCACTGTGTCCCAAGTCCCAAGCTTTCTTCAGAAAGTTCCATACTTTCATTACAAACCCTACAACCAGACCCTTTAGGGCAAGACATGCTATGCCGGGGCACCCCCGTGCCTCGGTGGGAGCCAAAGCTTCAGATGATCCGTCGGCCATTTTTATCCTCCACTCCATTGTGTCACTCGCTTCCTTCTCCTTAGCTATTTTTTCAAAAACGGAAATAGCGAGGAAATTGAGAATTAGACAAGCAGAACTATACGACAATGTGGTCCTCAGGGTTATGTGGAGAAGATTGTTGGTGAAGAAAGCAGTGGGATTACTGAAGTATATATACTAAGTGGGAATTTGGTTTCTCATAGTGGAACGAAATAAACAACTGAGCTAGCAAGTAATGATGTAAAGAAGAAAGAATAAACAAGAAATTTCCAATAGCAGCTAAAGGCCAATGCACTTGTTTTTTTGTTGAATGTTGGGTAGGTCAGGTTGAAGACTCAAGGACACTCGTTGATCTACAACTTCCATTAATTCCTTTCTCTATTCACTCAAAATAGGTAAAAATTCTATTCAAGCTTTTGACTATGGAATGAACGTTCATTTTTCGATTATCATTATGTGTTCAATAATGTGCCGATATCATTATCACCAATAAAACATATTGATATGTTATCGATTTGTATCTATAAAATGGCAACTACGCATAAGTCATGCATAGATTTCGAGCTTATAATCTCGTTGTTTCTTACACCTGTATCAATTGGTCGTTTTCACTTCAAACATATACAGTGTTCAATCCTGGAATTCAAAGTTTTTTATAATACAATTAATTTGTGTTACTTGCACTGCCTAGACTCTTTAACCTACTAAATGTGATATGGGATATTTGTGGAAATTTACCAAATGTAATCAGGTGACTATCAACATATGGGAAGTGGGACAAATCTTTTACCGATTATAATTAGTAATCAAACTGCATACAGATAGTTCTCTTCCTTTTTTTTTTTTTAGGAAAATCCCAACGCTATGATATGCATACAAATACAACAACTACAACAATCAAGTATTATCTTACTAAGTGAGATCAGCTGTATGAATCTTAAGACGCCAATGCGCTCTGTTTTGCACAAGTCTTCCATTAGTTCTAAGTACTCCATATATTTTCTTAAAGTCTCTTTCCAAGTCTTCCTAAATCTTCTTCTACTCCTTTTGCCGCCTCCGTCTCATAGTTATATCTTCTAACCGGAGCACAAAAATGCATACGAGTGATTCTACTAAATATAACTAATTTGTGCAGATCTTCATTTGAAGGAAATTCTATGATACACTGATAATTAAACCTTCCAATTTTTCCTTAATGCCAGAGAGAGAGTCATGGACCTAAGACCAAACCTTGATGACTGGTGACATATTTGTGTCCTAAATTCATCAAAAGTGGTAACATCAGCGCACTATCATGTCATCAAATCAACATATTCTACTTATATATTATGCCACGGATAACATAATTAGGAACCAGCACTCAAGACATATTTCTTATATTACCATATCATATACCATCATGGAAGAACTATTTCAACAATCTTGTACTCTCTCTCTCTCTCTCTCGCTCTAGTACTACGGTAAGAATCTCGAGTGTTAAGAGTTTCTTTCCCGGAAACACCCGGCTTCTAATAGTTTAACGAGTTTTTCTTCTTTGCAGATAAATTATTGTCAAGCTACAAGTTATTTATAATATGTTTCAGCTTGTGATTTGCAGCTAAGAAAAAATAACGCATTAACTGACATAATTGTAAGTAATGTTTAAACTTTCTTCGATACAGTCGATACTTCCTTGGAAATATCCAAAAAATAAGAGAAATATGAAAATGGGGGTGAAGTCCAAACTGTTAAGAGTATAATCTCACACAGCAGCAATGCATCCCAACCTCCACCAGATTAGTTTCTTTCACTTGGTTGTTATGACTGGAATGTTTGTGATTAGTTATATATTTTATGCTGAGCTGGCACATATATTGGGATAGGATATTTATGTATAAATACCATGTGTATTATTCAGTTGAATTAATGAGAATCACAATTACATTTTTTACTCTCTCTCTACAACTCTCTTTCTCTCTCTTAAATGCATTTCCCTCTCTGAGTTCTTAACTTCAACATGGTATCATCACCATCGTCTAACCGACTCCGATCCGGCGCTTCCCTCTTCTAGCAATTTTCTTGCTGTTCTTGCATTTTCTGATCTTCCAAACAGATCGCTACTTTTCTAATCTCTTCGTTTTCCCTCTCAATTCAGCACCTCTCAATTCATTTTCTTGATATGTCGGCGGCAGCAACTTCCTCGGATTCTCCCTCTCCACCTCCTGCAAACCCTAATTTTTCAGCAAATCTTCCTCCGAGTGTCGTCTCCAATCCTTCGATCTTGACGATTGGCACGATTTCCATTGCAAATGTAGCTGGAATGGTTCCGACGAAACTCAATCGTCAGAACTACATCACTTGGCGCAGTCTATTCATTCTTGTGCTGAAGCGCTTCAAGCTTCTTGGACTCGTCAATGGCGAGGATCTGTGTCCTCCTCCATTTGTTCGCGATCCCTCTGGTACTTGTGTTCCTAATGCATCTTTTGAGAACTGGTGTGAGCGCGATCAGATCTTGATGATCTGGATTAACTCTACTCTCTCTGAAGATCTTCTTCCCTTGACGATTGGCATGGAAGACTCTCGCTCTCTGTGGCAATCTCTTGAGCGGCGTTTCTCAGGCGCTTCCCGCACCATGTTCACAGTCTTCGTTCGAAGATTCAAACGATTCAGAAAGGTGACTCTTCAATGACCGACTTTCTTAATTCGATCAAAGACATCTCTGATAAACTTGCTGCTGCTGGTGAACCATTGTCTGAGTCTGATCTTGTTGCATACATTTTATCTGGTCTTCCTGATGAGTATGAGTCCTTTGTTGACTCTATTGAGACTCGAAATGAATCTGTAACTGCTGATGAGTTGCATGGTCTTCTATTGAGCAAAGAAATCTCACTCCAAAAACGCAAAACCAGAGCTTCTTCCTCCTCGACTGCACCATTTCATGCCTATACTGCTCAATCTTCTCCTCCTGTTGGTAATTTCAACAGAGGCAACTCTCGTGGTCGTTTTCATAATCGTAATCGGTATACTCAGAATCGCAATTTTGGGGGAAACAAACCTCACAACTGGCATCCCAATAACTCCGGTGGCATTCTTGGTGCTAGTCCTTCTCGTCAGCCTTCTGGTCCATCTTCTTCCTCTGGTCGCTCAGTTCAGTGTCAGTTATGCCTTCAATATGGTCATTGGGCTCCTATGTGTAATCGTCTCTCTCAGTTTGCTCAATCTCCATCTCCTACTGCAATGTCTGCCATGAATTCTTCTGCATCTCCTAGCTATTGGCTCACTGATAATGGCGCATCTCATCATGTCACCCCTGATCCCTCTTCACTCAACTCTGCCATTCCCTACTCTGGCAATGATCAGCTGTTTGTTGGTGACGGCAAAGGTCTGTGTATTTCTCATACTGGTTCTGCCCTTATTCGCACCAAACATGCTACTTTTCGTTTAAATGATGTTCTGTTAGTTCCTCAGGCTTCCCGTAACTTGTTATCTGTTTACAAGTTTGTTTATGATAACTGGTGTTCTCTGACCTTTGATCCGTCGGATTCTATGTCAAGGATCTAAGCACTGGGAAGATGCTTTTCCAGGGCCCTAGTGAATGAGGTTTGTACCCTTTCTACTGGCATGCTTCAAATGGTGTCTCTGGAATTGCAATCTCACCAACTGCTCTGATGATTGCTAAAGCTGATATACATACTTGGCATCGTCGGCTTGGCCATCCTTCTGGTGGGACTTTACATTCTGTTGTGCATAAGAATCATCTCCCTGTAATTGGTTCTGTTAATAATCTGTCAGTATGTACTGCTTGTCAACTAGGGAAGTCTTCTAGGCTCTCATTTTCCACTTTACCTTGTAATTCCTCTCGGCCACTTCAATTGCTACACACAGATGTATGGGGTCCCTCTCCCACATCCTCATGTACTGGCTACAGGTTCTATCTAATAATAGTGGATGATTTTACCAAATATAGTTGGCTCTATCCTTTACTTTTCAAGTTTGATGTCTTCTCCACTCTCAAGACTTTTATTTTAAAACTTCAGACTCTCCTTGGTTTCAAAGTTCAAAGTATCAGGTCTGATTCAGGGGGTGAGTTCCTGAATAAGTCACTCCAAAGTTTTTTCAATGAGCAAGGTATCACCCATCAGTTGAGTTGTCCCCACACCCCTGAGCAAAATGGGTGTGCCGAGAGAAAACATCGTCATGTTGTTAAAATGGGCAGGACATTGTTATCTCAAAGTGATTTACCTGCACAGTTTTGGGTTGAAGCTTTTCAGACTGCTGTCTACCTCATTAATCGGTTACCTCCTCAGTCTTCTGTGATCAGTCCTTGGGAACTCCTATTTCATGCTTCTCCCAAGTATCATACACTGAAGGCGTTTAGTTGTGCTTGTTATCCATGGTTGCAACCATATTCCAGAGACAAGTTGGATTTCAAAAGTAAGCAATGTGTGTTTTTGGGTTATAGCCTCAATCACAGTGGATATAGGTGTTGGGATCCTATCTCGAATCGGCTATACATTTCAAGACATGTGGTGTTTGATGAATCAGTATTTCCTTACAAATCTCTGTCTTCTCAGGCCTCACTTCACAGTCCATGTGTGACTTCTCCTCCCCACACTCATATATCCCTCAATCTGCCTTTGCCAGTGTCTCATCTTGAGCAACAGTCTTCACCTGCAACTGCTCCAGCAGGCAGCACTGCTTCTGCTCCATCCATATCTGATCCGGAGTCCATACATACTCCTCCAGCATCTTCCAGTTCTGCAGAGCCTCCACCCTTACCCCCCTCATATTCCTGTCAACACTCACTCTATGATTACACGGGCAAAGGCAGGTATTCATAAACCCAAGGTGTTCACTGCCACTCTACACCAACTTCCATCCACTGTTGATTCTCTTACAACATTACCTCATACTCCATCAACCTTTCTCCAAGCTTCTAAGTATTCTCACTGGATGGAAGCTATGCAATCTGAATTTCAAGCATTACAGTCTACTGGCACTTGGGAATTAGTTCCTAATCATTCCAACTACAACATTGTTGGCTGCAAGTGGGTCTTCAAAGTCAAGCACAAACCTGATGGTACCATTGAAAGGTACAAAGCACGGCTTGTGGCCAGGGGTTTTCATCAACAGGAAGGTTTGGATTT